CATTGTTGCTATTTCAAAAATTATTAATAAAGATACGAGCAAGGCCTCACCTTAATACCAAAAAAAAAAAAAAAAACCCACAAGAAGAGTCCAACTCATCTATAACTGCAACGATAGATGCTTCATCTATATTAACTTACTGTACTGACAACATACTTAACTATAATACATCTCTAGATGATCCTAATATACTAGCAGACCCTTCTATATCCACATTACCTTTATCACTCCACTCTGATACCGAATCTAATAATTTATTAGAAAAATATACACTTATATTAAGATGTAAGTCTCTATTATGACTTGAATCTTGATTCAAGAGATCATGAGATGAGATATGGTTTATAGGTATTGGAAGTGGACTAGGTAAGTTTGAAGAAGTGTTAATTAATTTTTGTATAAATGATAACAGTTTAGTAGATATTGCAACACACAATGTCTGTGGTTTTAATACAATCACTAAAAGAGAAACTTGGCAAAATTACTGTCTAGATCATAACATCAGCATTGCTTGCATTACTGAGACCAAAATTGCAGACAAGCCAAATTTATCATTCTATAACAATAATCTCTTTATATATTTTTGAGCCAATTCAGACAGCTCTGCTGAAGGTGCAGCTATTATGATACATAACTTCCTCCAACCACATATTCACAACTGTATTACTCACCCTGGTGGTGCAGTCACCATCGATTTATTCTTTAAAAGCCAGTATTATTTCTGTATATCTTTTCTCTACTAATATATTAAAAAGGAATGCTACTCAAAATACTGTAATCAATTGGATCCAACTAGTTTTTTAACACAACCTTCATTTTATTATCCTTGGAGATTTCAATACACATAACTACAACTTTAGTTCCTCAATAAAATACAAACTTGTTAACTTTCTGTATCATTCTATGTATGATATTGGTGCACATCTTAACAATACTCATTATATCTGGACCAACAATACTTACTCTAGTCATATTGACTATACCTGGACAGACCAATTCAATATTCAATTTCTTCTATCATATAGTCTAGATACTAGTAATACTTGTACTTGTAGTGATCATCTTATACTTTGTATATCATGAACTTTTCCTAATGCTTATAGCAAACCACCTCGCCTATATACCAGTATTAGCTGCCAAATATTTAATTACAAAGCCATGACTCTAAAAAATTAGACTGAATTTTCAGACTTTCTCACTACAAAACTTCACTAACACTGTACTTCTCTATCATTACAAACCTCTGAAAGTATAGATACTATATGGTATAAGATTGAACATTCTATCATAGACTTCGCTACCAAAATTATTTCTAACAAAACTTACCATAAACATAGCTATAACCACAAATATACTTCTCACAGTACACAACTACACCTGTCTCTTAAAAAACTAGATCATTTAATCAAAATTCTTAAAAATACTACTGCTTCACTAGATATTCCTTCTTTTAATCTTCAAATCCAAAAAATTAATCAATGGTCACAATGCAATCTCCAAACACTTTCAAGTCTAGACTCAATTCCAGTATGGATTAGACATGCTTAAGATATATAGTACCAAATATACCAGGCTCATTACATTGAAAACTCCTTCTTACTTCGCCAACAGATCTAACAAGCCTCTGAAAAAAGATGTAAAACTCTTGTTAGCAAACCTACACAAACTATCAATAGCATTCTTAACCAGTACCAAGCACCCATATACTTTTCGAATATCAAGCTACCTAACCAACTTATTACTGAACCTACTCTTATTAAACAACATATTCAAAATTACTTCTATAACTGGACTACTTACAAACCTATTAACCAAACACTTTTTGATAGCTTTTGGCAACAAGTATACTTACCACAAGCCCATATTAATTCCAGTTGG